GGGAATGTGGGTGATATGTGAATGAAATTGGGAGGGTATGTTCAATTTTGCAGGATATGTGAATTTGTCAAATTTTTTTAATAACATTTGGGAGGGTATGTTCAATTTTTTTATAACATGTGGAGGGTATGGTCACCTTATTATTTTTTTTAGCAAATTAGTTTGTACTAATTTAGCAAATTAGATCGTAATAATATTAGTTTGTACTAATTTAGCAAATTAGTTTGTACTATTTTATAACATTTTACAATTATGTACACAGGTTTTTATTAGAACATTTTGCAATTATGTACACAAGTTTTTAATATACAGTTTCGCAGAGTGTTCATATACAGTTCATTTTTTATGTTAGAAGTTTGAAACGATGGTCGATAATACTAAAGGGACTGAAGAGAAGGGTTTAAGGGAGGAAGAACCGTCCATTCCTATTGTCGATGCTCCGGAACCAATGGTCCCACCGGAAGATAGTTTCGACAGCGACGTAGCTGACGAGGGCGATGAGTACTCGTCGCCAAGCGATCCTTGTCCAACCCTAAGCCCGAAGAGAAGGAAAAAGGGCAATGGTGAAGAAGGCGACAAGGACTGCATTCCCCCTAAAGAAGGGGTGAGTAAACTTAATATGTAAATTGTTCACCGTGATAACTATTAGCCCGAGCTAATATTAAATTTGGTATATACCTTTTCGTAGGAAACGGCGCCACGACGATCAAAATGGCAGCCGAAGAAAAAAGATCGGTCGAAAGACGATGAGGTCCCAGCTAACACAACAGGCTCAAAGAAAAGCGAACGGTCAGCAAAGGCGAAGAAAAGAAGGGGCGAGAGAAGCGTGAATAGAAAGGACGAAGGGTTTCATGATGTTACCCATGTTTCGCCAAAAGGAGAGCCGCTCGCCCCTAAGACGGCACGTGCGAAATTCAGTTCACAGTGTGGCATAATAGTAAGGGAAAAGATCCCCATCACGGTCAAGGACTAGGATCATGTATCGAATAGAGATAAGGAAGACCTATGGAAAGAGTTGAAGAAAATCTTCCATTTCCCGGATGGATCAGAGGTAGCAGTGAGTAATTGTGCACTGTAAACAGTGGACAAGTCTTGGCGTGGTTGGAAAACCACCTTGAACAAGAAATTCTTGAAGACAGTATGTACACCGTTTTCGACGTATGCCAACATAACCCCGAAGCAGTGGGACGACTTTCTGTCGTTCTAGAACTCCTCGGAAGAACTTGAAAGGAGCAAAAAGTTTTTAGAGTTGGCCAAGAAGAACAAATTTCCTCATCGCTTAGGCTTCGCGGGATATGCACCAAAGGTGGAGCAGTGGACAAAAGAGGTGGAGGAAATGAGGAAGGCGGGGCTTCCGGTACAAATGGAGGAATGGACACAGAGATCAAGGAACTAGGTAAGAGCTAGAACTCCTAAGATCACGGATAAAGGCAAAGTTTCGTTTGAAGATCCGGAGCTGCAGGTGGTGGCCGATACAATAGAGAATTTATCCAGTGCACAGGAGAAAGGAGCTTGTAAGCCTAAGAGGGAGAAAGATGTGCTAAGTACGGCGCTTGGTACTCCTGAGCATGGGGGTAGGGTTCGAGGTGTGTCGTCCAAGATGAGTTGGAAGGAAGGATTCAAACATGACCCCCATAAGACACGTGAAGCGTACAAGGATAAACATAAGGACGAAGGGGCTGTGGATTTTGAAAGGCAAATGATGGATTTATGCGTTAAGCACATGCTTTTGCCTCCCCCCGAAACGAAAGAACCTGAGCCTGATTACCCCTTCGATGACCTCAAGGAAAATACACCCCACAGATTGCACATTCCCATTGGACGCTCCGGGAAATCTCTTGAGGCCGCTACAGCCATTGCTATCCCTGGGAGAACATATAATGAAGAGTTTATAGACGATGTGTATGCCAAAGTGCAGCCGCAAGTGGTCCACGAAGGGTTTGAGTCCTACGAAATAGACTTCCCTACTCAAGATGGTGTATCCGTACTTGGGGATGCGGTCGATCTTGTAATTCTCTGGCACAAGAATGACATATCCTTTGGATTTGGCACCGACGCCACGTGAAAACCTGTTGTGCCAAAACCGGGGTTGGGAAAACCTCCGAGACCACCTAAGAGGAAGGTGACTAATAAGGCGGAGGAACCCGAGATGCATAAGGAAAATCCAGTGCCGGAAGTGCCACCAGAGATTGCAGTGCCGGAGGTGCCCATGGAGATTGCGGTGCCGGATGTCCAAATGGAGATTACAGTGGCAGAACCAGAGGTGCAATTTATGGCATCAGTCGGGACAGATATAGAAGAAGTACCAGGATTAGAACGGGACGGTACAGAGCCAGAAATATTTGAAGACCCTTCTCCTGCGAAAAACCCCGAGGTGCAAGAGACCCCGGTCCCTGAGAAGGCCACTACCAGTTCTGAGGTGCCTAGAGTGCTTAGAAGCCATGACTCCAAGTTCAAAGATGAGAACAAGGAGAAGTTCATGGTAACTGTCTTCAGAGGGGGTAAGGAGCCAAACTCAGAGATGATGACCCCCAGAAGGCCGCTGCACTAGCTGGGCCAACATACTTGCCAACTGATGATTGCCCGGAAAAGTACGAACATGGGAAAGCACTCTTGCCGAAGTAGGCACTAAACGAAGGACCATGGGAGAAGAGAAGGTTAGATACCTTCTACATGGATGCTAGCAAGAAAGGCTTGGGCAATATAACAGCTCGATCACCGGTAGATTGTTTCGGCGCCGAAGGTTACGTATGGCTAGATTTCTCAGATCTCCACGCCATATATCGTCGGGATAAGATGGATGTCAACTATGTCGGTGTTTGGTGCATGTGAGCATGAGTTTTAATTAATTACATGAAAAATATGTACAATACAAATCCATGTGATTGTTACTAACAAACTTCTTCTGTAGGATGCAATACATGGATGCCAAGAAGAAAAAAGAACCTATCAGCTTCTTGGATCCATCTCGGATCTGTCAAACACAGCATACCGTGAGGCTAGCACCAGGGTCAGACCAGCTGAAGGGCAAGACTCCAAAAGAGATAGCTGAATAAAAGAAGGGCTTGCACAAGGAGAATTTGATTATTGTCGCACAGTATATTGGACGAGCCTTCTTGCACTTTCAAAATAAGAGAGTCATCATGGCCGCTTATAATTTTGAGTAAGTTTGGTACATTTATCTTTTACACATATGTCTTATTTTAGCTGGTAGTAACAAACAATGATGTTGTTAATATGTAGCGATCATTATATCTGTTTACTCATCCACCATAAACACGGAACAGTGGTAATCTTGGACCCTCTCGATTACAGACACCAGTCATACAAAGAATTTCTAACAATCTTACAATAGTAAGTGATTCTGACTCTTGCATTTTTATATGAATGTATTATAATTAAATATCCTCCTTAATGTGAAACGGTACGACATCCATACAGTGCGTACCAATACTACAAGTTCAAGGGTGGAGAACAGACCCGAACAAGGGAGAAGCTGCTAGTACGTACCTATTGGCCGGTAATACTCCACTCACTTAATGTATTCCAATTGTTTCATTAATTGCAAAATTTAACTATTTTTTTCTATGATATGTCCTGAAGTGTCACAAGCAACCTAGAGGAACTGTCCTTTGCGGGTATTACGCGTACGAATTCCTTAGGGTTAATAGGAGGTATAGGGTTTACGCAGAGGATGTAAGTCTCTATACTATGTACTAGATAGCTTCACATATTTATGATACTAATATATTGTTTATCTTCAATGCATGCAGTTGCCAAGATTAGAACGTCGAACAAGCTTTGACGATACAGGCATCACAAATGTCCAGCGTGATCTATGCCACTTCATCCACCATGAGTACTGTCATGTGAAAGGAGATTTCTTCGACCCAGAGAGTGCCCTAGCGACAAGTGACGAATTCAAGGATCTTCGGGAGTGGAACACCGCTATGCCATAATATAACTAGATGGCGTATTTGAAGTGATAATGTAAAAAAATATTGTAATATATATTTTTTGGCAACATTTTTGAGTTATGCAGTATATGTAGATTTCTCAGTACCAAATGCTTGATAATATTCCTATATATGTACATAATAATCTACCTGCAAGAATTTCTATTAAATAATTAAAAAGTAATTTATGGGTAAATTATTATTGTATCAAATTTCAAAATTTTCTATCTATCTTCGCAGGCGGATGTTTTCTTTTTTTGCAGGCGGCCGCTTCCTATTTTCGCAGGCGGACCGGACTAGCCAACGTCCGCCTACGAAAATTATCTTCGTAGGCGGACGGCCGCCCTACCTGCGAAGATCGGCAATCTTCACAGTCGTTTGCTTACAGGCGGATGGCCGCCCCGCCTGCGAAGACCGTTTTTGGCAGCTTGCGATAATGCTTTTCCTATTAGTGTAACTTATGATTCCTTTTTCTACAAGATGGAAAATATTAATTATACTACTCACACTGAGATCAAGATATATATCAACTGCATTATGTAATTTATCGATCTTCTACCACATATTAGCCAGGAAGTAAACATTACAAATGGCTCGAACATTAATCAATCCATACATTCACATCATATCACGCACAAACAAAGTATGCAAACAAACAGTTCAGCATGAACAAGCATTCAACATTTATTACATGCTACACTCATGATTTGGGAAGTAGCTAACAGCTACTCATGTTGTTTTGGGACCAATAGAAGCTTCTCTTTCCTGTGCACCGACAGCCCAAACACCTCAGACATATCAATCTCCGTTCCTGGTGGAAGCGTCCAATCGAATTTCCACATAAGATTTGCTAACATGATCTCAACAACAGCGATGCCAAACTTCATCCCAGGGGCACAATCCTCCGCCCATAACCAAATGGCAAGTACTGATAATCATTCTCCGTGAAGTTGACATTTGCAGCAGCACTACTCATGCTGTCAATGAACCTCTCAGGCACAAACTCCTCCACGTCCTCCCAGAAGCGTGGATCCCTACCAATGGCCCAAACATTGACCAAGACTCGTGTCCCTGAAGGGATCATATACCCATCGATGTTACAGTCATCCATGGAGATGTGTGGCGCAAGGACAGGCGCCACCGGGTGCAATCTAATCCCTTCTTTAATGACCGCTCGTAGGTAAGCCATGTTGTTTATGTCAACTTCGCTAACAATTTTTTGCCCTTTTGGGATGCATGCCCTCACCTCATCTTGCAGCTTCTTCAACATGCGTGGCCTCTGCATGAGCTCTGCGATGGTGAATTCAAGGACCAAAGCTGATGTGTCTATTCCCCCAAAAAAGACATCCTGAGGATTTATAACAAGGTGATAATCGATCAGCCTTCCATATTCTTATATATTTATCCAACCGATAGTTTTGTGTACAGTTTAGTTATGGGCTTCAATAGAGAGCGTAAATTGATATATGAGACATGGCAAATGGAAATCGATCTTAGATAGGAATTGGAAGGTATGTGCTTTGTGAATTTGATGCTAACCTCAAGGTCGTATTGAAAAAGTATGATTGAAAAACTATGCATTTGCTGATTAAAATAGTATGGAAAAGGTTGCCAGTTGTCCATTCACATTACGTACTTATATCTCATCTTCTTAAAGATAACGGAAGCTACTACTTAAAGAACTGTGTTTCGAATACTTACCTGAAGAATAGCTTTGACGTGCTCTCTGGTGAAACCATACTCCTGTCTGACAGAGAGCAAAATGTCCACAAAGTCCTCGTCATTCTGGTCAGAGATAAGATTGCAACTGTGATCATCGTTCTCATGGTCATTGATCAGTTCTTCCAGCAGCTCGTCCCACCTCTTCTTCAATCTCTCAGCTTTCAAGCACATCATCTTCCCAACCAATCCGACCCGAGCTAGGACAGGGAAGTACTCCTCGATGTCGAAGCCACCGAGCAGAAGCGATGTCTCATTGGCCAACTCTTGGAAAATCCTCTTCTATCTGTCGTCACGGGGGCACTTCCCTGACACTGTACGGCATATCATGTCATTTGTAAATGACCTGAGAATCTGGCCTATATCCACCACTGCGCTTGCTGTTGCCGCCTTGCTAATCTTGGTCATGACCAAGCTAACCTAGAACATTGTGTGAAACAGTTTTAACATTGGGCAATTATAGGCTAGAGACCAATATAAAATGTCTACAAGATCAACTTTTATTAAAACTCGGAGAGTGGTCGCAGCTTTCAAGTTTGCAGACTAAATAAAATTCTTTTGCCATATGTCTACTATGCAATTTCTCTGCGACCAATCTAATTATTTTGAAACATTAATTGTCTATCATAATAAATTCACAGAATGTAGGATTCCTAATTCTCCAAACATATTTGCACAATCCCTTATTTATTCCTATTGTCGCACTGTGACATGTTAGCCCCATGTAGGCATGTACGCATGTCAATGAAAATGTGCAGCAAGCAATAAGGGAATGGGTCAAGTCGGGAGAAAATAAGCATTTTATCGAAGAATGTAATGTGTAAAATACATTTTTACAATTTCTATTTTTAATTGGACTTGGTGTAGAAAAGGCTACAATAAACTTCTAAAATTGTGCACAAATTTACTGCATTTTATATTTCACCTTCCAATATACATAAAAGTCGTGATAGGTGGCCTCAAGAATAAGAAATAGTGTCTGTAATTTGGAATGGAAAAGTCAATTATCAAACATGAGGGTGGTACCAGATTCTTTTCAACCCACCACACATCTAGTTATATATCTTGTAGATTTTTTTCTTCTTCAATTAATAAGGTAATTTGTAGGCTTTGCAAGTGAAGGCAGATTCTCTTTGTTTTCATTCTAGTTTAATACTATAATAGATGGTGGATAAACTATACAATATTACAGGGGTTCAGCAAAAGATGTTGGTCAGGAGAATGATCTTTACAAGTTGTAATTATGAGATATAAGACATATAATACAGTGACTGAAACATGGTCTACCACAAGTAGGGAAATATTGTCTACCAAGTAGGAAAATATTATGACTACCTCCTTTCTCAAAATATATAACACCGTTGACTTTTCATACAATGTTTGACCATTTGTCTTATTAAATTAAGATTATATTTTGTTTCATGATAAAACAACTTATAATAAAATAATATCTATATAACTTTTTAATAAGACGAATGATCAAACATTGTACGAAGAGTCAACAACGACATATGTTTTGGAATTGAGGGAGGGAGTACATGCCAAGTTGGCATCTATAGTAGCTAACTAGTTTACCTCCTCCTCACGCGCAAGCCGTAACGACTGCACCTTCTTCGCACTGAGCAGGTGCGTGGTGACGAGCTTCCTAGCCTGCCGCCAGTGGTCGCCGTAGGGCGCGAACCTGACGTCGCGGGAGCGATAGAACACGATATCAGCCAGCAGCACCGTGCGAGGCCGTGAAGCGAACACGTGATCGTGCGTGTGCAGGATGGCCTCGGCGGCTGGCACGCGGCGACGACGCGACGAGCATCGGCACGGCGCCAAGCCAGAGGAGCAGGTCGGGCCCGTGCCGTGCGGTGAGGCGGCGGAGGGAGACGTGCGCGGGAGCGAGCCCACGAGGTGGAGGAGGTGCCCGATGACCAGCAGCGCCAGAGGTGAAGGTGGAAGGCGATCCTTATTGTTCTTCCTTGCTCGACTCGCGGAGAATGTGGCCAGAGCATAGTGTAGGAGTAGGAGAAGCACTACAACAAATATACCTTGTAGAGACATTTTCCTAATACTATAGAGACATTTATAAAATGCCTTTACAGTGTTATAGAGACATTTTGAATAGTGTCTCATAAGTGTCTTTTGGTGTATTGTCTCTACGAACTAAGAGGCATTTTATAAGATGTCTCTATGCAAATAAAGGCACTTTGTAAAGGCATTAATATGTTGTGGCAACTATAGCGAATCAATATGAAAAAAAAAGAAAAATATTATCCCTTACCAATCCTAGAACTCTTAACCTCTTGAGTTGACTATTTTTTATCTTCAATGTACTAACTATTTCAACCTCATTTAGTTACATGTAAATAAGTGATTTGTGTTACTTATATCTAGTTACTTGATATATATTAATATTTGAAAAAGTACCTTTACATCGTTTAAAATGCCTTAAGAAAATGCCTTTACATATGAGGCAAATTTTAAAGTGCCGAAAATATGTCTCTACAAGATAAATTTAATAAAGTATACTAAAAATATCTCTAAAGTGTCTGTAGAGTAAAAATATTTAAAGTGTCTGTAGAGTAAAAATATTTTAGACGATTTTGAAAGTGCCTCTAAAAAGTGTCTCTAGACTATAGAGTTTCAAAACTTAGAGGCATTTTAAAAATTGTCTCTACCAAAGAGCCTCTATATAAGGTTTTTGTTGTAGTGGAGGAAGACAGGGGACAGTAGCAAGAGAAGCCATGTTCTTGGAGCCGTCTCGATGATCATGGTCAAGTCATACAATCGTTCAGACATGCATGACAGATTTTGGAAATGATTTTTGGTGATGTGTTATATGGAGCATGAATGGAGAGGCAAGAAAGCAATATGCTAATCTGTTTGTCTCTCGCTTTTTAGTAGACGGATTGTAGAAAAAAGACAAAAGCATATCCATCACTTCCGTTGGATAGTTGGAACGATTCGTATCCGTCAAAGTTTAGTCGTAAAAATCAGCAGGTGCTACGGTGTCACTTAACCAGAGCACAAAGCACAGATATTCAATCGACTTTCTCATCTGCAGTCATTATCAGTGGCTATAGGATAATTAAGCTTTTTGTTCCTTTTTTTTCATTTGTTTTGTTGATCATGCTGAAGATGCATGCTAGTAATGAATGGGATAATCTTGTTGAATCACACAGTTAATAGTGGTAATTAAGAAATTATATACACTCGTTATCCGCGTGACAAGCAGAACCTTAATTAAATCTAAATCTTGATGCAGTTGACGATACGGTTGTCAGCCAAACATAAAAAACATGACCAATGGGAAATGACCGTCTACACAACTTTTCATTAAAAAGAAAAAGTCTCATCCAAACCAACCGAGAAAAGCCATGAACCCTGGTTCCTTAAGCCGTGCTTTAAGTTCTGTGCCCCCTACACGAGGGCTTACCCTCCGTAGGTTGATCTTAACATGTGTTTGTATGTGGGTCTAACGAGTGAATTCTTTTCAACTAGATCTGAAATTCTCTCCGATATGAAATTAAATCTAGGTTCTATGTGCTACTTGAGCACTGTAACCGAAAGGTTACATGCTCTCTTGCGTCAGACAAACTAAGATAAATGTATAAAAATGATATTAAGAGAGCTAAAGATGTTGGTTTTATAAATGGGGTGATTCCTCATTTGGTGGATGATGGTTTATCTATTTTGCAATATGCGGATGACACTATCATTTTTCTGGAGCATGATTTACAGCAAGCAAAGAATTTGAAACTGATTTTATCTGTGTTTGAAAAGCTATCTGGCTTAAAAATAAATTTTCACAAAAGTGAATTATTTTGTTTTGGTCAAGCGAATGATTATTATGATCAATACTTTGATATCTTTGGTTGTAAGCTAGGTGCTTTTCCTGTAAAATATCTTGGTATTCCTATGCATTTTAGAAAGCTTAGTAACAAAGATTAAAAAGTTATTGAACAAAGAATAGAGAAAAAACATAGTAGTTGGAAAGGTAAGCATATGTCTGTTGGGGGTAGATTAGTGTTAATTAATTATGTACTTTTAAGTTTAGCTATGTTTATGATTTCTGTTTTGATGTTCCCAAAGGGGTTCTTCAAAAAATAGATTATTATAGATCACGCTTCTTTTGGGAAGGGGATGATCATAAGAAAAGGTACAGACTTACTAAATGGGATATTATTTGCCAGCCCAAAGATCAAGGCGGTTTGGAGTTTCATAATCTGGAAATTCAAAACAAATGCTTGTTGAGTAAATGGTTATTTAAGTTAATAAATGAGGAAGGGGTTTGGCAAGACTTGTTGAAGAGAAAATATCTTTATAATAAGTCTATAACCCAAGTTGATAGGAAACAAAGTCTATATAACCCAAGTTGATAGGAAACATGGTGATTCCCATTTTTGGTCCGATCTAATGAAAGTTTAGGATACTTTCTTGAATATGGGTTCTTGGATTCTGAATAATGGGAACAAATAAGATTTTGGGAAGATAAATTGTTAGGTAACTTGCCTTATAAAGATAAGTATCCTTCCTTGTATACCATTGTCCGAAGGAAATGTTCTTCAATTGCTAGTGTTATGAATTTTGTTTCTCTTAATGTATCTTTTAGGAGAGCATTAGTGGATCGGAATCTTGTTTCTTAGCATGATTTGTATGCTTCTATTGTTCATATCCAGTTGAATCACTCATCTAATTGTTTTAAATGGAACTTTAATCAGAATGGTATGTTCACGGTAAGGTCAATGTTTCTTGCTTTAATTAATAATGGCTATATTGAGAGAAACAAGATAATTTGAAAGTTCAAGATGTCGCGCTTAAGATTAAGATCTTTATGTGGTATTTGCTTAAAGGTGTCGTATTAACTAAAGACAATTTGGTAAGACGGAATTGGAACGGTAGTTTGAGATGTTGTTTCTGTGTGAAAAATGAATCTATCCAACATCTTTTTATTGATTGTCATTATGCAAAGTTTTTATGGAGAGCAGTCCAATTCTCTTTTGGTTTATACCTTCGTAGTATTATAACCCACATTTTTTATGGTTGGCTTTTGGGGGTGGATAAGAAAAGGAGCAAGCTTGTACTTGTAGGAGCTTCTGCAATATGTTGGGCTCTGTGGTTGAGCAGGAATAATTTAGTTTTTGATAAATCACCATCCATCTCTTATATGCAGGTAATTTTCAGGACAACATATTGGCTCCGATACTGGGCGCAACTACAAAAGTTTGAAGAAGACGGAGAGTTTATAAAAGTTGCATGTTGCAAGCTTGAGATGACAATTATGCAATTTTGTCAATTATGGTTGGAGATTCACTAATAGACTTCAATAATGTGTTCTCCTTATTTTAGTTTCGTTACTTATTTTGTTCATTGGGTGTTTTCAATGATTTATTGAACTACACTCTTATTTGAGTACTACTATGTAATAATTGGCTGTAACTCTCTTGAGCAAAGGCCGGGATGTTATATTCCATTATCTAAAAAAAATAAAAATGATATTTAGTTAGCTATAATATGATAGGGACAGTAGAAATGCAAACTAAGAATTGACCAATGTCGAGAATGTAAACGTCTCGCTCCAGTGATCACTTGGAATTAGTGCCAGGCTGCTATGGGAGCAATTATAGTGGTGATAGATTCATTCAACTTGCACCAGTTTGATTTCTGCTCATCTTCCTGGACACTTCCCATCAATCTCATGCAGGTGTTGGTGCAACAGTTCCAAAACAAAATTACAGATTCCTCTAAGAAAAACAAAATGTTGCCCACACATTGCCATGGTACCTCATCACCAAAGCATGCCACCACTCCCTGTACTGAATTATCTGCGAGATCTACGATTCGTAACCTTCCATGCAGATGAACTGAACATGAGTGACCCTCCCCCCTTGGGCTGAGAGCCTGAGATTGCATCGCCAGGTTTCAGTGGCGTTAATTCGCGAGTTTTGCATAAAGTATACCTATAATATTATTACAACTTTAAATATATATGCATTCGTAAAATATAGGAAATAATAACATAGTCATGTAGGTATTTTCATTTCTTGGATTGTTTGGAGTGTTACTTTTTTAAGAAAGTACAGTGGAGGAGGCCTCCATGGTATAAATATTAAAAATATGGTTTATGTAAAAAAAAGAAGAGAGAGAAACAAACAAAACCAGAAACAAACAAAACCAAAAATAAATCAAATTACAGATGGTCAATCCATGATTGCACCAAAGGTCGATGAATTTCCATGAGTGTAGGTAAATGTAGACTCAAATCTATCTTTAAGTTTCTCTTCCAAGAGAGAACAACAGGTTGGACATCATTAAAAATCAAATTATTGATGATGTGACCATCAAGTATATGCATACAACCAAGTATGAGAAATATGAAACATTGTCAAAGAATACATCGGATGAATAGAGTATCTACAAGATATTAAAGTTCAATAAGTTTTGGAATCCAGTTCGGCCTCCGGAGATAGCACTGACTTCAAACGGACCTAGTGTCTTCATGTCAAATTCCGATCTGGGTGATCTTGAACTTGATGGAAAGCTTATCTCGCTACCTTTTAAACGCATCCAGTCTCATATCCAAATTCATTCCGAGTCAACGGAAATCGTCAAAATAAGGCAGCGTTGTTACTGAAACCGAATTCGGGCCTTGTAATAGACTAGACCCATCTCGGAAGTGTCTCCCTCCAGCTCCACGAATTAGCACTTAAAACCTAGATCTATTTTTATCTATAAATGTATGTGTACACCCTCTAGAACAATCGGGTTGTGTTTAGTTGAATTTTGCCAAGTGCAAATCACCTTGTCTCTAGTCCTTGCTCGATTAGTCAGCGTATATAGATTCAGAGCCCCGAATAGTTGGTGTGTTGATTTGCCGGGTCGATTAGATCTACCACTTCAATCGTAACTATTTCTCGTGCTTAATCACCTATTCGCAATATTTAGATTGCATCTTATCTTGTTCTTGCAGTGTTATCTCGTTTGCATTGCAGGGATCATCAACCGCGCATCACGGTTGGTACAACATCGTTTGTGGTGTAGCGATTGTACGGCATCCTGGACTTGTTCTATTTGGTAGCCACGTCGCAAACGTCGCACTCGATCAAAGTAAGAGTTACCCCTCACCAGAAGATCGGGCCATGAGAGAGAGAGCGTCATCAATTTCTCTCATTCCAAATATTCCAAGCTGCCAAGAGAAAAAGTTCCATGAAGCAATGATAGGGAAAATAAGCACGCTGGGATTGAATCATTTGATGAAAATTCTGTGCAGTAACCCAATTCCACCCCAGCTGACTCCAACAAAGGGAGCAGAAATCGCATGAGAAGATGAGATGCTATCGAGTTTCCCTAACATTTAAATGGTAGCTAGAACAAAGGGCAGTCGCATGAGCTGGGATACAATGCTTTCAATCCAAAAGATCCCTTGTATTAACTATGTCCAGAAATAAAAGCCAACCAAAAACTTGATCTTCTTGTTGTATAGTACAACAAATCTTCAAATCCACATGGCAAATTGCTGTCTTTGAGAAAAGAAAAAGTGCAAATATAAGGCTCAAAATTCAACATGCTACGTTAGGAAAAAGTGCAAATTTTTGTGACTTCATGTGCCTAGAAACTAGTAGTTCCCTTGAATTACAAAAAAATATTGGATGTTCTGACAAATGAGTCACCTCAAAGGAAATTGTATATGAGTTAGTATGAAATTTTGAGGTTCATCAAATAGCAATGAACAAAGTTCATTTTACTCCCTTGAACTATTTGAACTATTCCAGATACCAAATCACTGTCTTGGAAAAAAGAAAAGGATTTTAAGAAAAAAACAATGCTCAAAATTCAAAATGCTATATTAGTAAAAAATATGCAAAATTGTGACTTGATGTCCCTAGCCACTAGAAATTTCATTGAATTACGAAAAATTCACCTCAAACGAAATGGTATAAGTTGGTTTACGGTTGTCTTTAAGTTCATTAAACTACAAGGAAAAAAGTTTATTTTACTCTCTTAGCCCTCTAAACCATTTTTAGGCTCATTTTACCCCTGAACTATTGAAAATAATTTACTTTATTGCTTAAGAGCATCTTTCTTTCTTGAATCTCTTTGTCCAATTGTAATTTAAACTGAAATGTTTTGAGCCAAAGACAACATAATTACAGAATTTTAAAAATAATTTCATATATTATCATCACTATTTAAAATCTTGATGTTTCTCCAATGCTAATGCCATGGTTTAAACATATGCGTTCAAAGTTAAAAAAATATTTTAGTATACATAATGTTGCATCCTATTTTCTCGACAATTTTGCTTGTAGCTCAAGAGCCCGTGAAGGCGTGAACCCACTTATAGGCAAATTAAGTGGGTGACTTATGGGCCAGCCTACTTAATTGGCCTGGCCTACAAATGGGTTTGTCCCACTTGTAACACCCATTTTTTTCCCACTGCATTTTTAAAAAGACATATCCTCACCCTGCAAACAATAAAGTAGAAAGTATCTTGCACAGACATATGGACAGAAAGAAAGGGGAAGACAGTACAGGAAATTCTTCATAATATTGAAAAGAGAAAACAAGCAAAAAGATCCTTGAGCTGCTAAGGAAGACAAACAAGGAAGATGGGACCTTTTCAGATGCTATGAACTTATGCATCTCCAAAACATATCTATATTAGAATTGCTTAGTTATCATGTTCTAACTTTTTCATTAGGTTTATAGTACATGTCTCTTGACTCGACATTTAAAAGATATGTCAACATTGAATTGTCACAATCCCACCACAAGGCACATATCGATGTCATTACCTTGTTTCTCAACAATAACCAGAAAAATACTTTAAGTTTCAGGAGATCCTTTTAATTTTTGAAATAGACCATATATTTGAGGCAGTATAGAGTAAGTGCACAAAGAATTGGCCATTTCGGTTCAGTCATCGATCCAATCTGTCTCTCCCCCTTACAAAGCCACATTTTATCACAATGCCTTTTATGATCATCCTGTTGTCGAACAATTATTATGTATCCTATATATCCAAATTTACAGGCATACAATCAGAAATCAACATCAAGGGCAGATTAACCTTTGGGTCTTGTTGGGGCATGAGCCCCAGCTCCATCCCGGCAGAACCCCCTGCCCTGCATGCAGAGCAGCAACCGCACAGCTTTAGGTGAGGAGTAGCGTGTAGCAGAAGTCCAGAACAACCACAGTGGCGGATGCATGATTAAAAAGAAGATGGGGCTAAGATGCTAACTTCGTAAGGACAACTAATCATAACACATACCATATTTATACTACAATCGCACAAAAATATAGTATAATCAATAAATTAAGTCAAACACAAGCATTTAATATCGTCTCTTTATTTTTAAATAAGACAATAATCCTTGCGTCATAGATAATTCATCATACACCAAAGATAATAGTAAACATGTCAATTTGCAAATATAAGTCAATTCATAAAACATAGTTGATACATGATAGATATCTTTAAATATTGATAAATAAATCAGAAGACATATCATCGTATGTTACTAGGCTTCACCGTTGAATGCGAACCGGAACCATGGACATGACCACGCCAATGTCCATCTGCGACATTGCTTCCTTCACCTTCCGACCTTCCTTGTCCCGGTCCATCTATCACCATAGTGGCAACAGCCAGCAAGGAGCAGGCCAGGCCAGCAAGACAAGTCAGCAAATAGGCAAGCAAACACTAGTAGCAATGAAGGGGCACTACTACAAAAAATGACATCAGTGCTACTTCGTAACTAGTATCAGTGTCGGAAATAGATTCGACACAAAACTTTCGGCATTGATGACCCCACTGATGACCCATTTCATCAGTGTCAGGTCCCGATCAAGAATAGATGTGCCTAGAAGCACCTATGCAGAATCTTTATAGACTCATCTGTGTCATGTATTCTCTAAACCCAGCAATTATATGGGCTTATCTGTGTCGGGTATTGTGTAGAACCGACATTGATATGGGTTTATCTTTACTGGGTGTGGGCTAAACACGGCACTCATAATACGGATCCAAATTCAAAATTTAGGCTAAAAAAACTATTTTTTAATACTCATACCATCCTTACTCATTTATATACAAAGCCCAACCATTAATATCTATTTTCGCAAAGTGCATATAATTTTTGCCATTGCAAGGATTCAAACTCAGACCTCTACCTCACATACACCTTTTCTTACCAACTCATCTATACATCAATCTTGTTAGCAAAGGGATTTGAATCTTGAATTTGAGCATCTAAAAGAACTCAAATGAAAAAGTTTTCAACTACAAAATCATAGATCTTGTCGAGAGCTACAATTTTTGTATAAACTTTGTCGCAATCCAAGTTCATATGAAAAAGTTAAGTTCATAGATCCAAAATTAGCACTAATATGGTTAGGGTTATCAATGCCGGGTATTCTAATGACTCGGCCCTGGCACTGATGTGATCGGCATCAGTGCCAAGCATTATAAAGAAATGGCATTGATATCTTTTCGCACCATAAGTCTAGTCATCTCACTCCAAATGGTAAGATTCATCAGTGATGTGTTACTCATCAGTGTCGGGTCTTGGCACTAACTGACACTGATGTGTCGTCGAACAATCAGTACTGGATGATTATAAAACCCGACAATGAAACATGGAAGAAGGAACAAACAAAGACAACATGTAGTGGTCCATGGGTGATTAAGTGGACTGATTAGTCACTAGCCCTTACTTATTAAGTTATTAGTTTTTGGTTTATTTCTCTACATCGATGGACGGAACGATCTTGGGGTTATACAAGTCGAGTGGTTTTCGGTCACAAAGTAATGCAACAGTTAAGAACAATTTTGTTTTATTGAATTTGTGGCTGTACCTTTGTAGTGTTATGTCTTTGATCATAACACAATACGAAAGAGCAACCCCTATAATTTTGTTATAGATTCGCCACTGGTCAACATTAAAAATAAAGTAAAATCCTAGATTTATAGAGTGGATCATATCATCAGGAAAGGAGTGCCATATCCAGATAATATTGTGAGCATGGTTGTGTGCATCCTTTGCTGTGGAACGCACGCACACGCACCCTACCCCTATGAACACCTCCGAAGGACTGGGTTAGTATATCTCAAGATTGATGGAGTCACCACGGGCGCCTCACTGTCGACGGGTACGTCGCCTACCATTGAATGAATAATTAGCCGTAAATGCGAGCACCTGTGTCAAATATAGGGTTTGAACCTAGTGTGCTTGTTCCACCACAAGGAATCTAACCAGTTGAACTACACTCACTTCGCTTTATTGCATTTCAGTTCTTTGGTGGGGTCACTACAAGAATCCGTAATTTTCTTTGCGGCCAAAAATCACCCAAGGATAGCCTGAAAACTGCCAAGGCAATATATCTTGGCGGCCAACTGCCAATTCTAGAGTGACATGGAAATCCAGATTTCTTGGCTGCTAACCGTGAGGGAAAGTTTCATTGGTGGTCCTACCGCCAAGAAGATTACAAAGATTATCAAACTTCTGAAAAGCCAAGAAATGAAACCCTGGCGGTATGGTGGCCGAGCACTTGAGCTCCAGAGTTTTACAAAATGGATTATTTGTCTTTGATGTTCAGCTTCTGGATGTGAGTGCAACTGAAGTGCATTTGCCAATATAAGTGCAACTACTACTAGTACTAGCTAAAGTTTGCATTTTGTCACTAACTGCATCCACCAATGTGACTTTTCCTTTGTTTTATCTTTCATGTGCAGATCCATATCAAAAAGAGGAACTGATTAGAACACAAAAGGTTGAACAAGTTGGTGCATATTAGCTACAACCGGAAGATGGCAAATAGATTTCAGAAAATTAGAGAGCTTGGCTCCAAAGGAACGAGATGCAACCCACTCCTCCTTGAAGAATTCCAGTGGGAGAATGAATGGGTTGATGACAATTGTGAAGTAGTTCAAGCAGCTGATGATGATCTCAATTGGGTTGATCAAGCTATTGGTGCAACTCAGACTCTATGAGGTCGTGACATGCCTAGGGCGGCTGCTGCTGCTGCTCGTGATAGTGTTGCGGTCACTTATGGTAGGAAAAGGAAGTGTTCAAGGAAGACAATTGCTGTTGTCCAAGATATTGTTGAAGAAGATGACAGTGATGATAATCAAATAGATGGTGGACAAGAACAACAACAAAGTGATGTTGATTCAGAAGCTAAAGATGAAGATGGAGGAGGACCAACAACTGCAGCAACAACAGAAGATGGAGGGAGCTTTCTTTTGGATGATGATTTGATTAGTTAGATGGCTGCTTGTGTTCGAACTTGGAGCTTATGCGTTGTTCAGTTGAGCACTTAAGCTTGTACTTTGTAGTGAACTTGCTTATTTATGTGCTACTACTACTGGTTGGATACCGGGCTGCTGGCTACTATGATTTGCTGGTTTAATTATGTTCTTAGTTGCCCTATTTTATATATTTGCTCTAGGCCTCAAGCTCCCAGCCTCCAAGTCTTATTTTCAGCTACTAGTTTCAGTTCAGTGTTATTTTCAGCAGCAAGTCAAAAGAAATATGGAGTACGCGACTGGGATATGGAGTTATGGATTCTTGCACACATCAAAACTCAAAGGATTCCTTTATTATTGCTTTATGTTGTGCACTATATAGTATATATGTTCTTAGGTTATGGCAACAGACTTTACCGATCTGCCTCGATTAATCAGGTTGGTCAACGATTAACCAACCTGATCGGCCTAATCGGTGCCATGGCGATCAGGTCTGATCGGTCGATCAGAGAACATTGGTGAAAAACCATTTGATCAATTTGAGAAACGATGGTTGGGAACCTTTGCATGGAGAGGTTACAGTATTTTGCATAGAAAATGATATGCCAATACCAAATATGGATGATACAGTTCCAGGGATTGGTCAATCAAGAAAACAGGGGAGAAACAATGTCACGACCATCCATGTGTTTCCTTGTTGATACCTTTTATGCAGCAATAGATGCTATTAACACAAAGTTGAATCATAGCTTTAATGAGGTATCTCCGAATTGCTTGTTTGCTTTGCTTCTCTTGATCCTAGAGATTGTTTAGTCTAAATTTCACGTGGATAGGCTTGCCCAGCTTACGAAGATTTATCAGGAGGATATTGTTGGCAAATTTATCTCTCAGCATGGAAACCAGGAGAAAATCTCGTTATGGTCATTTTTCCACCCGTTGCCCGTGCGAAATTGGTGTGTGATTAAAATAGCAATTATTTCCTTAATTAAATTGTGCAACGATCAGAAGCACCAATAATTTCCTTTTATTAAGATTTCCCTGATTTCTCGGCGCAAAATAAAAAGGGGAGGCCTACACGTGAGAAAGATGACGATCTCTCTCAAGGTTCCAATCTCCCCGACATCCCAAACCCTAATTCCCGATTCTTAGTTGCGTTGGAAGGGAGTCATAGTGCTGTCCGAGGACTTTGCAGGTGGAGGCCTGAGGCATGCCGCCACATTGACTGCACAACTACTACGACTACCTCCTCCCCTACGCCGCCAGAGCGGTTCGAGGGATTGCTACCTCTACATCCATTCCGGCAAACAGCATTGCAGAGGGAACCAGGAAAACTGCATTGATGGCTTCAAACAACGGTCTGTGACCATAATTGTTCCACATTAAGGTGATCATAGATGGCTAAGCACTCATGTTAGTAGATCATATAATCTACAGATTTTTCTTTTGATGATCGCAAGGCTATAAGAAATCAACTACAGACATTTATCCTTCATGTGTGGAGGCTCTAGGAGTTCATAGTTTGTCATGATTTTGCAAGCTTTGCAAAAAAAGATGGTTGACTGAAGAGGCATAGTGTATTTCCATTTGTATATCATCTCAATGAGTTGGCATAGCTTTTACCGGTGGCAATTGCATCAGTTGAGAAGGTCTTCTCGGCAATGAAGATTATCAAGACGGGGCTACGCAACAAGATGTAGGATGGTTGGCTCAATGATTTGATGATTTGCTACATTAAAACACAGAGATATTCAAAAGACTTGATTTTTAAAAAATCAAAATAGCAACGCGGAAAAAAGAAAGATTGGCAAATGCAATTGCCTACATATATCTATCTACCCTCACTAATTCCTGCATGTGATGTATGGCTAAAAGCTTGAATCTTGAGCATTCGAGGTATTTTTGAGTACCTACTCTTCTATTTACACTTTTTTTCAAATAGATGATGAATTGTAAAAGCGGTAGTTCATGGGCCACACCCAACTTTTTTCTGTCTTCTGATACTATACATAGAATCAGGTGAAAGGGTAAGTGAACATACGGGACTGTAACACCACAGCAATAGCATTTCTAGACATAGAATTCATGCTCATAACACATGACCTAGGATGCCATAAATATCAAAGCAATATTTTTCAAATTCTCACTCAAATGTGTTCCAAACATACACAAAATAATTGTGTCAGAACAGACATGGTAAATGCCATGCAAGTCGCGATTATATGAATAGGACAAGAGAGAAGAAAAAAAAAAGAGAATACATGTTCTACGTGCAACTCACAAGTAAATATCCACTTGTTGACGTGAAGAACATAGATACATATACAAATAAATAGCATTTACACACAATCAAAATAAGCACATTTATTTAGAACACCTTTCACCTGGCTGAAAGTTGTGATATCGAAACAGTAGCTTTGGATGCAGAAGATGAACTGGAGGTTGATGTTTCACCTGGCACTCTACGAGTTGCATCGATAAAAGTCGGTCTCGTGGGCTGGAACTCTAGAGCATTTCTTGTCAGCAACAACACAACTACCTCCGACATCATTGGACGTGATGTGACAGCCGATTGAGTGCACAGAAGGGCAATCTCCATTGTTCTTTTCACCTCCTCGTGATTGTATTCTTCTGGGTCTAATGATCTGTCCACCAATTCAATCAAGTTGTTGTCTTCATAAAGCTTCCAGGCCTGTAAAACAAGAAGGCATGATCAAATTTACATTTAACAAAATGTCCATAATACAGTCTTGCATTACAAAAGATCTTAATAGTCATTACAAGATGATCATATGATCTACGAAGACATTTCTTTCTCAAATTGAAAATGAACAATTCAAATTGTTTGGTCCTGATCTTAACATGGACAAATTTTGGTGGAACCTTGATATTAGAAAATATGCCATCTCGGCAATAACTTTATCAAATTTAATATGTACAATAAAAAATAGCAAATACATTCATATCAGGAATTGTACGAATATAATCATAAGCGCAAACACCTGTACGGTTGTATGAGAAATATGCAGTTAAAATGTGGTATGTGTCCAAGAGAAAAAAGAAGTTTTTAGAATGACTGATACCCATTCAAGTAGGTACTGGCTATCAGGCTCCAGCCTTGCATCATTGAGCTTCCTACCACCTATTATTTCTAAAGTGACTACACCAAAGCCGTATGTGTCAACCTTCTCTGAGAGTTGCCCATGGATGGCATACTCAGGAGCTGTGTAACCCCTGCTTAAGTAAACATAATTAGAAACACAACATATGCCCTTAAAACGATATTTTCATCTTCAAACTTACAATGTTCCTGCAAAATTAGTGCTGAGATGACTATGATCATCAGGTATGAGCCTTGCTAAACCGAAATCAGCAATCTTTGGTTGAAACTCGTCATCAAGAAGAACATTGCTAGATTTAATGTCACGGTGTATGATGCGCACATGGAATTCTTCATGAAGATATGCAAGGCCACGAGCCATGCCGATAATGATATTAAATCGCTGCTTCCAATTGAGGGCGACACTTTTCTCGCCTATAACAACAAAAATGAGGCCATTGCCAAAAGAGAATGTAGGTCAGCATGATCATCTTTAAGCTAATTAACTTCAGTCTACACTTGATCATTAGCAATGCGATTCCCCCTCTTAAACTACACATATAAGTATGTTTGGATCCCCCAATCACCATGCCTTGCCTGGCAAGGATAAACTAGCCCATCATAGCTAAAGCCAATAGAAGCTAACATGAACGTTTGGTTGCGTAGCTTAGCCAAGAGTAACTGCTCCGCATGCCAGGGATCCAAACATCCCCTCAGAATGTGTACCAATAGAAGTATGATATCAAATGGAAATGCCACATGAACAAAAAAAAAAGCTTCCATATGTCCATCAAGTGCCCAGAAAATTTAAACAATAAAAACAATAAAGACTTGAGGTCTTTGCTTAATGAAATGACACACAGATCCCCTGCATGTTCAAAAGAAAACTAAAGAACTGAGAAACATACCAAAGAGGAACTTATCAAGGCTTCCATTTGCCATGTATTCATAAACAAGCAGGCATTCTGAGCCCTTGCTTGCGCAACCAAGAAGCCGGACAAGATTCCGATGATGAACATTGCTAATCAACTTCACTTCACTTTCAAAATCTGCTTTGGCCCTGCTAGTTTCCATAACTGTTAACCGTTTTACAGCTACAGTTTTCCCATTTTTCAGCGAAGCCTGTCAGAAATGTACTTTTTTCAATATTTATTTTACCATTTTGTATAGTCAAATAGCAACACTGGTGATCAGATGTTTTTATTCTACTTAGAGTTGCATCTTGTCTTAGAATCAGTACAGAAGATTCAATATTTGACTATTGTAATACCTTAAATACATCTCCAAATCCCCCTTCTCCAAGTTTGCTTTGCTCACTGAAATTATTGGTTGCAACCTTTAGATCTTTATAGTAAAAACTTGTTGGACCCTGCAGTTCTGTTGCTCCAAGAATATCTCCTAAAGAAAAATACAGTTAGAGACAAAGAAGCTAAGTAGTTCCTTTTCGTTCCAATTAGCTTCCTATGGAAAAATGAATTTTGCAAAACTTGGTCATATGGTACGTTTTTATTCATTATAAACATGGGAATTAGTTAAACGTTCAAATGCAAAAGAAATGTAGTTGGAGCTTTGCTTGATTCCAGCTGTGCACAAACACAACTTCTCCATACACCAGAGATCAATAATTGTCCTTTATTTGAAAATTATTGCTCCTTCGGATCACAAACAAGTCAGCATCGACAAATTCTCCAAACAGCAAATTTCGCTCCTATTTTTTTCTTGGTATTGACATATTCATAAATTGTGATAATTAAAATTATGTAAGTACTTTTCAAGACAAAATTACACATACCATTTTGTGTTCAGCCAGTCAAAATACTCAAGTGTATTGATAAATACTCCCTCCGTACTCGTAAAGGAAGTCGTTTTCGACAGCGACACGGCCTTCAAAACACAACTTTGACTTCTTGTTTCTACAAAAATATTTATTGAAAAGTGATATATGTATGCTTTTATGAAAGTATTTTTCAAGACAAATATATTCATATAATTTTTACATTTTCAAACTCAACAACCTAAGAGTTATTTATGATTTATATTCCCAAGATTTGACTTAAACATTGTCCTAAACGACTTCTTTACGAGTACGGAGGGAGTATGCAAGTTGACTTCATGTACCACAAAAACGTATCAAGAATCAAGGGCTTTCAATGATATTGTGGTGGTGAAAGCATGTATGCCTCCGGCTATTGAGATGGATAAAGCATGTCCATTGTCTAAAGTAGTTTAATTTCACAAATTCATGAAATATGTCAAATTAGTTTTGGTGACATGCCAACCTGATATTTGACCATGCTCTTAATGTTCCGTTGAAGACATCAACATAAAGTTTAAGTGCAAGAAGGTAGTATACTTCACAAAACATATAGTTGTTTACCTCTACGAGGCTTCAACGGCTTCTTAGACTGCCTGGTCCAGAAGAGTGCCAATAGGCCAAGGAGCAGGAATGCCACACCTCCTAAAATTCCTCCTATGATGGCTCCTTTGTGATTTGATTTCCCTGCATAGATAATGGATGGAGAGATCTGAACTGAAGACCTTTGAACAAGAGACATAATATTTAATTGCTCTCGAAGTGAAATTGTACAGTAAACTAACCTCAACAAAGAGACTACTACCTGAAGTAAATAAATTGACTTTAATATTTAAACAACTAATTAACTGTAGAAGATTTTCCTGAAATGTACAAAATGACCTCACAATCAACATGTCCATGTATGATCCATCCATCAATACAACACATGCTTCAAAGATACAAGTTTTCACTTTGATTGAAATATCTTTGCAAAACAAATTGTAGGGGGAACCAGAGGCCTTTGGACTCGTTCCTCCCCCAAGGAGCCCAAGGCGGGGCGGAGGCAAGGAGAAGGGCCTTTCAAGCGGATAGAAATTAATCATTTATTTCCATATGCTTTTTCATTCCTTTTTATTTTCATTCTAGTTGTTGCTATGTGAAGAATAGAGTTCTTTGTGACATGATAAAAAAAGTACTTACTTTTCAATGGGTCCTCTAAGCTCTACTAGGAGGATCTAGAGAAGCCCAACCCCTCTTCTCCAGAGACCTAATCCAACCTTTTTATCCGACGCCCTAGGACTAGGACAAAGGTGTCCCACACTCTGCGGATGCCTTCGGACAGGAGCCTTTAGATGGGGCTCCGAGCGAAGGGTTGGCAGCTCCACCACTCAATTGCCCTTTTTTTGCGGGGACCACTCAATTGCTTTGATCCAAGCGGAAGTGTGATCCCACTATACTATACATAAACCATCCTAGGACGAGCACCATTCTGATGAGGCACTAAATGACGTTTTACATGTCTAAATTCTAATAGAAACAAGACCGTGGTACTGCAACAAATGTGTGACCTTACTTGCCTAATTGTGGAAAGAGATATATTGGGTGAGTTTTTGTCATGAGGAAATGTCTCAATTACATTACTCTATTAATGCTTTTTGTTAATTAGGAGTCAGAATTTGTTCATGCGTTCATTGTATGCTTGTTTTCTAGCTGGATTTGGTTCGACACAGGCTGCTGCAAGGTAGCAAACTGTTTTTGTGTGAAAAAAGAGATAGCAACCAGCTAGAAAACTATCTCAATTGTGTCTTCACTGGTTTGTTTTAGACTCTGCGACCTGGCTACAATGAAGTTCCGTGGCGTGGAGGCATACATCAACAGTCTTGTTAATGTAAAATCAAAGGTGTTTTTGATTATTATTCTGTGATGAACAATTGGCATTGGAGATTATTGGTTTTGATATTTGGAATTTATTTGCGAAGTGGTTTTGGAGATGATTGGAATTTACATGTGATTGACAGGGACTACTGTATGTTGGGTCCGGTCAGACTGGGCATGGGTTGCCGGTCAGACCGGCGTGTATCGCACGGTCAGACCGGCGCAGCCCGCGGTCTGATCGGCCGACTCTGTGTCGGTTCCGGTTTCGGGTTGTTTGTTTGGATATCCGTGATTGTTTCATTGTTATGACTTCTAGATGGATACTATGCGTTTGTAATACTGTTGTTTGCTACTAATGAGTCAAGTTGGGGACAACTTGGTCTCGGAATATGGTTTATTTGTTTGTTCCATGTGTAAGTGAATTGATGCCGGGAGAGTATTTATGGTGATGGACCGGGAGTCGGCTTGGGGATAAGACGACGTCACTGGTGGTCAGAGATCATGCGGGATACTAAGGCTAGAGTTCAATGCACGTAGTTGGTGAAGATTCCATATGGCATACTATAGAGGTATTGTGTGTGTATGGGATGTGGAGTCGAATTTGGAAGGAGTCCAAATTTGGTATGAGTGGTTATGCAAAGTTTGTTTCTTGTACTAGAGGGTTTCCTAGGGTGATTAGGACTTCTAGTATGAGTTTGGTTCGTGGCTTTAGGCTACCTACCTCCGTTATAAATAGAGAGAGAGCGTGAGGCTTCCCGGTATCGCTTTTTAGAGCAATTGAGTTGATAGTTGAGTTAGGGTATCGAGTTTAGTCGAAATTTTTGTAAGGAGTGTTGTTTGTGCACTTTTTAAACACAGAGAGAATCAACAAAGTCGTCATGCACTTTAAGAGTTCTTTGATTTTTGTTTCACTGGGTTTCGGCGGTCTAACCGGCGGCGCACCAACGGTCAAACCGGCGGCATTGTAGCGGTCAGACCCGCGGGGACACGGCGGTCAGACCGGCGACGGCGACAGGCGCAGCAGGCAACCTCGGCGGTTCGACCGGAGTTCAATCTCGGTCAGACCGACTCGTTCCAGGCGGTCAGACCGGCACAACACCTTTGGTCAGACCGCGATCCGTCGAATTTGAGGTTAACTTTTATTTCCGCTAAAAGTTTTGGTTTTTGGGTATATCAACCATTCACCCCCCCTCTAGTTGGCTTAGTTTTTGGGTATACCTACAACTGGTATCAGAGCCTTGTTTTCTTCTTTGGATTTTAACTGATCTAGAGTTTTTGCCATGGCTATTAGGTTTTCAACTAAGCCTCATGTTTTCGATGGAACAGATTTTTCTCATTGGTGTAGATTATGATATTACATTCTGGCTGAAGATTATGATATTTGGAGAAAAGTTTCTCATCCTTATGTGATTCCTGAAAAAATTAATACTGCTGCTTTAAAAACTGAGTTTGAACAAAATTGCAAAGCTCACAATATTCTTTTCTGTGGGATTTCTCGTTCGGATTATGATCGTGTTGCTTATCTTCAAACTGCCCATGAGATTTGGATTGCTTTGAGTAATTTTCATCAAGGAACAAATAACATTAAAGAACTTCGTCGAGATCTTTTCAAAAAGAAGTACATTAAATTTGAGATGAAACTTGGAGAAGCTTTGGATGATTATCTTTCTAGGTTTAACAAAATTTTGAGTGATCTTAGATCTGTTGATTATTCTTATGATGCTAATTATCCACAATCTGAGATTTCTCGCCACTTTTTGAATGGTCTTGATATGTCTATTTGGGAGATAAAAGTTACATCTATTCAGGAGTTTGTTGACATGTCTACTTTGACTTTGGATTCGTTTTACACAAAACTGAAAACACATGAGATGAATATTCTTTCTCGTAAAGTTGATTCTAAGTCGAGTGCTTTGGTCTCTTCCTCAACTTCTTTGGATGTTGATTCTTCTTCATCGAAGTCTTCCGCATTTGCTTTGTTTAATGCCATGTCCGATGATCAACTCGAACAATTCAAGGAGGAGACTTGGTTTTGTTATCTAACAGACTTTCTCGAGCTGTGACTAATGTTAGGTACAAGAAAAGAGGTGGACCAAATCGTTGCTTTGAATGTGGTTCTACGGATCACTTTCGTTCATGATGTCCTAAGCTTGGGAGAGTGAGGAAGGAAGATAATGGTGATGAGAAGACCAATGACAACAAGCCAAAGGGTACATTCAAAGGGAGGAAGATCAAGGACACTCTCAAGAAGGCTTTTGATCAAGTCTACGCTACGTTTGAGCCACTAAGCGATGTAGATGGTGAGAGTGGAGATGAAGATAAGGGTAAGAACATCTCCGATGTTTGCTTCATGGCGCGTGGTGAATCGGATTCAGAGTGTGAAGACAATGAGATAAGTGCTCTTGAGGAAGCCATTAATATTTTGAGTGAAATACATATGAAATGTGAGAAGATGTATAGAAAACAGGAGTTTATCATTGAATCTCTTAATTCTGAAATTGCTAGATTAAAATCTCTTATTCCTAATGATGATGATTGCACAAACTGTGAGGTTTTAATGAATGAGATTTCAAAAATTAGAGATGTTAATGCTGCACATGATTTGAAAAATAGATCTTCTCTAGCTCTTAGTTTTGCTTTGCACACACGCACTTTGGATGAGTTCTTTTTAACTAAAAAGTTGTTGCAGAAATATCAAATTACTTTTCATGCTAGTTTGATGTTTAACATGATTTGTGCTAAAAAGTTAAAACAACCTCATGGTGTTTTGGATTGCTCAGCACTTTGAATAAATTGAAATTAAATGATGCTTTAGGTCGTGTTGAGTACATGGAAGATGTTGTGAAAAACAATGAAGTGCTTTCTTGCCCCAAATGTCGTAAAAGCAAAGGTGTCATGGTAGATTGTGAAAATTGTGCTAATTTGGAAAAAGAGGTTTCTTATTTGAAAAATTCTTTGCAAAGATTTTCTGATGGTAAAAAGAACCTCAACATGATTTTAGATCAATCTAAGGTTAGCACACATAATCGTGGTTTAGGTTTTAAGCCTTATGCTCATCATACTAGACATCCTCCTGTTGTGTTAGGTGTTGGTGCTAGAAGTGGTGAGATTTTGGTTAAACCTGATACTAATAAAACTGTGTTTAAATCTGCTGGCATCATTTTTACCTTGAGTGCATCATCTTCAAAATCCAATGTTGTGCATGCAAAACCTTCTGTTGTTGCTTGTGTTGCTAAGCCATCTAAGTCTACCAATGTTTCTAATCATCGTGAAAAATATACTTGCTCGTTTTGTGGCAATGGTAGACATATTGTTGGTTTTTGTTTCAGATTGGCTCATAAACAGAAAAAGGAGAGAGAGATTACTTTTGCAAAATCAAAGTGGCAAAAATCTGGTTTTCCCTCGAGGAAACCGGTCAGATCGTAGTGGGTCCCGCGGTCGGACCGGCGACCGGTCAGACCGGCTACTAAGCAGCGGTCGGACCGGGCACCGGTTAGACCGGTGGCACAGAAGCGGTCAGACCGGCCCCCAGTCAGACCAGCTACTGTATGTCGGTCAGACCGGCCTTGCAGAAATTTTTCGAAAAATTCTCAAACTGTTTTTGCACATGGATATATGCCTATTGGATCTTCTGGTCGTGTCTCTCAGTACTGGATTCCTAAATTTTTGCTATCATCTAACCTCAGTACTGAGGCTTCGACTTCTGCTCGTGTATAGGCTTTGGTGGCACGGAAGGAGAACTTGTGGATCGTGGATTCCGGTTGTTCGCGGCACATGACCGGTGATAAAAATTGGTTCTCCTCCCTCAAAAAGGCATCCAAGACTGAATC